GTTACATGAGATCCTGTAATTCTATTGGCTTATAAGTTTCGTCATAAGTTTCATCAATCGTCATAGGTTTCGTCAATTGTCAATTCGTCATTTCAAAATTGGCTTGACGAAAGGTTTCATCAATCGTCAATGACGAAAGTTTCGTCATTCGACAAGCATCTTTAGTGAAGACCCGTCCCAACTAACAACATAGTAGCCCCATCACCAATATACCAAATAACTTGCCTTGCAAATTTATTAGTAATAACCTTTGCCCCGCAAATGCCCCATGTGATGCATTCTTTAAGCTCTGCTATATCCGCCGTAATAAGTAGCCTGGCAAAAGAAATGGTAAAATTATATCGCCCGCTCGAAAAGGAATCGACCAACCACTGCCGCTATGAACTATGAGAATGATCATGAATTGAGAAATACCCAAGCTTTCTGTGGCCTTGAGAATGGTGACCAAAATAGAGTTCGAGTTGAAAAGGATATGCATCCAGCACCCGATAGCGACCAAGCTTCAGTGCTCGATTCATACAGCCCTTCTTGTTGTTATCAAATCGAAATGGGTGCTGAAAAAAATGAACTTAAGGCACCCATTAATCACCAAAATTTGCAAGGATGGATTATACCATTGGAACGAATGACCTTGGTTATGGTTGCCGAAATGGAAAAGAAATTAAAACAGATAAGCAACACAGATTCGATTCTCACCAGGAGTCCAATAAGAGCGAACATAAGACATATAAACGGTGCTTGAAGTTTGTTGAAGGCAATTCGAAAAGACAATGTAGTCTTGGGTCTTGCTGTAAAAACAGAATTGGAGTAAGAATGAATAAACGTGAGGCATGCAATTATTATCAAGAAACTGCTAATTGTATTGCAAATAAAATCAGTGACATAAAGGCGGCGAAAGACGCTGATGACTCTGAAAGAAACATGGAATGAATCGAAGATGTGAAAGAAGATGTTGAAGATGATAAGCAAAGTTGTGTTGTTGTGAAGTGTAAAATGGATGAAGATAAAAAGAAGAATAATAAAAGTATAGAAGCAAAAGTGATAGTTAGCGTAGGTAATGAAATACCACAAACAAGCAATGAAGGAAAAGAAAACTTACCTTTGTCAAGTAACCAACTGGCCAGAAAGATTGAATGCACAAGTGAAATATCTGATGAAAAGATTGTTAAAAAGTCGTCTGGCGAATCTAACAATACTGATACAAAGGATCAATGTAATCTCAGATTGTGTTATCAAAATGGTAAAGGCTCGGATAAGAATAGAAAAAAGAGAAACTTCTTTACAAATGGAGTGAAATGTACTCCTATAGCTTGTGTTGTGGAAAAATTTTTCCAGTATTTGCGTAGGCCCCAGCTCACTAAAATAGCCCACTATTGTATCTCAATGTTCTTGAAATCAATATGACACATTTTTGATTCTGGAGGAAAATCTAAAAATTAAATGGATAAAAAAAAAAGTAACATTAAAAGGTAGTAACTTAAAACTAAAAATAAGTATGATCGAACAATCACGTGACTTAAAATTTAAATCGTAATGGGTCATGCACAACAGTCACATACAGGTAAGGAGCATGTAGCAAAATTTAGCGAACATGTAAAAAAAAAAATAAATAAATAACGCCAATAGGGACATTCGCTGGAGCTCATACTTTACTGGGAGAAGATGTTACGTAAATTTTTGTAAATTTAGATTGATGAATAAATTACTTCATTTCACCGTAGTAAAATTATTACATTTTTGTGACTACATTTGTCGATTAAACTGCCCAGCGTTGATTACATATTATTTTGTTCATATTTATTATTTTTTCATATTATATAACTATTAGCTACATATTATTACATTTTATCTTACGACTATTACTTCATATTTGTAAATTACTTCATTTTTATATCAAGAGTTAAGGGATGGAATGAGAATATAAAGGTGGCTTTAGACGAAATGAGAGGAAGATAGATGATAATAAATAAATAAATAACAATCTTGTATATATCGCTGTAAATAACACGTCTAATAAAATACTTGTTTATCTCTTTAATGCTTACAGCCCTAAGCTAAATTGGCTATGTAAATACAAAGTCTCTCCTCAGGTTGTAACACTTTATGGATCACAGATTGTTTCACATGACAAATAAAAGATTTAAATTTAATGCATCAACTTTGACCCCGAAGGGGCCCAAATTGGCAGTGTTGGCCGATGACATAGGTCATAACATTTTTTCGATATGACTTTGGTCATATAATCATATGACTTTTTGGT